TTGAAAGAGAATCATAAAAATCATTAAGAACATGGGATGAGCAAGAGGGGTATATGTATACATTTACAAGAATAAGTGACCGAGAAAAACTCAAATTGCTGGGCTTATATTGGATTGCCGATGCGTTTATATAACGCGTGAAATAAGTAAACACATTTTTGGTCAGATGGCACCACTGATTTTTGACATACNTCCCCGTCGGGAATAAGGAACAAGACGATCGACGCGATAGCTAGCGAATCCATCCAGGTGTATTATCTCATCCTCAATTTCATTGTGGAGCCAACTTTCTTGTAGCATGATCACACGTAGTTGGGCATATTCCCGCTGCTTGATTAAGCTGATGAGATCGGCCATGTTTCCGATAAGAGATCGAACGTTAGAACTGAGACTGATGGGAACACACAAGCGGGAGATGGTTTGCTTCCGAAGAGCAACTTTCCAACCGGCTCGATGAATCCTCGGATTTTTCGAAAGCTTTCTGAACGTCCGTTTGCTTTTATTCCTTATAGTCTTCCCAAAAGAGCTTGTCGCTGCATATTTGATCCATTTGATGGAATGCATGAAACCACGAGTGTATTTGATTAAATTTGTCATTACTGTAGTAGCACAACAGTTGCCGTGGCAACAAAGGTAAAAGTTCATGCGAGTGATACAAAAGTCAGACACAGTTATGATTATGCAGTGAATAATCCGATGATGGAAAAAACGGATAGCACGGCCGAAATTCGAAGGCCCCGCCCAGATTATGTGAAACGAAGAAGCACAAGAGTTGAAATGAGTCAATTGAACAGTGTTGGACAAGTGAGTCGAGTGATTTGTGTTGGGTTAAGGGTCAAGTAAGATGAGAAAATTTGATATGGAGTTAACTGGACCAAACGATGTGATGAATGTGGTGAAATAGGGAGGGAAGGTCATGTTACGTCATGCTATGGTAAGGTGATATCAAGTGTGAAGTCATCGCTACCATGGCAAAAACAGTTGTGTCACAAATGATTTTGAACACATAATTGCGGTTTAAAGCGACCAAGCGGTTTCGGAATATTTTCACACATTCTGGTTGATAAGTGACGTTATGTCCTTCCGATATACCGCTGACCGCAAGTACACTGAAATGAATAGATGCAGTTGGAGGTAACACTAACGTCTTTTCAATGCAGATTAGTGCATGTGAGACAACGAAACGTCCCGTAGACAATCGTTAGTCTTGCGACATTGTACGTCCTTTCGACGGCGTGTGTTAAACGTTGAGATATCCTTGTTGTTACATCATCTCCCTTGAAAGGTAGTTCCATAAAGACATCTTTTTTCTTAGCCGATAGGGAAATAGGCTTGGTGTCGATCGGCTTGCTGTACTTGTGGATGAATGCGATGGGGTAACCATTGTCTATCAAGGTATTGGTCAGTCGGTCCAGTTCATCTGGAAGGACTTGCCGACTGAATAGTCGGCGAACCCTGTGAAACAGAGTGCGTACTAGACCACGCTTGTATCCTACAGGGCAGAAACTCCTGAAGTGTAAATACTGTCCTGTCCATATAGACTTTCGATACATAGATATCTGTAGCTTACCGTCTGAAATTCATTTGAGTAGAAAGTCAAGGAATGGAAGTTTCGATTCCGATTCACATTCTAACGTCAGCTTGATGTTGGGATGCAATGAGTTCAACTTGTGAAATAATGCCATGATATCTGTTTCGTTGTGCGCAATAACTAGTGTATCATCAACATACCGCCGATAAAGTAGGGTTAAATTCAAATCACCTTCCTGTTTGTTTTCTAGTGCTGACAGGAAGATATCAGCAAGAAATGGCCCCAAAGGGTTACCCATAGCTACACCATCAACCTGTTTATAGATATTTCCATTGAAAACAAACTGCAAGTCGCGGATGCATAAATCCAGTAGGATTTTCAAATTACTGGCGAGGAAACCTATTTCGCTGGCATGTTTACATACTTCGTTCCTTTTCCTCTTCTCTTTATTATCCAGTACGTTCATCATTTCTGGTATTTGATGAATCTTTTTGATTGTAATCGGTTTCCCATCTAAACAGTTGATGATAGTTGTGATGGAAACTTCTTTGTCGTATTCAGCCTTGAGTTTCATCCGTAGAAACGACAGTGTCACAGTTGGGTTCGCCTCAATTCATTAAATGAGTTCCTCTACATGGTGATTTGATCACTTGTTGAACCGTCTTCCTCCGTGGGTGAATTCTGGCGGTTCTTCTTGATGTCTTCTTATCCATGTCATCGCTGTCCTTTTCTTCAAACCAAGTGATGCAGCGATCATCAACCAGTCATCACCATTGTCGTACGCTCGTGGTATACTACACTTACGATCCATTGCAGTTAAAGGGACATTGGGAATTTCGAATTCTTGTTCAAAAATGCGATATTCATTGGTGGATTAGTTTATCTACTTAATACAAATAACCTCTGAATTACCGCTTGACATTTACATCTTATTTACGTGCTGTGGCATCCTACAATACCAATAACGATGAACTTATTGGATAATAAAGAGAAGGGGAAAAGTTAATGTAACCACCTGTTTTTGAGTCATTTCTTCCTAGATATGTTCAACACCTGCAATGGTACGAGTCACTTGGACATGAGATTATCTGGATTGAGAAACCAACTTCAACCTACACTCTTCAAGAAATAATGGGCGTGCACCAAGAGGTCAAAGGTGTCGGATACCAGTGGCCAGTTCAAGAGGAAGAAATCTGCATATCATAGGTGCTATGAATGCGGATGGGTTGTTGAACTATACTCTGAAAAGGGATCTTACAACTCCGTATTGTGTTTGCAATGGTTGCAAACGTTAGTTGATCAACTATTGCAGGAAGAGCATAAGTCGTATGTGATTGTGTGTGACAACGCACCCTGTCATTCTAAACTGGAAAACGTCGTTTCCGGAGGAAGAGTGAGCATTCTCAGACTTGCTCCGTATTCTCCAGCCTTGAATCCGATCGAAATGATATGGAGCAATAAGAAAATTACATCAACCAGAGCTCCGAAATCAGCATGTAAAGATTATGACGGGGGATCCCGAAGGGAAAATGGACCAACAGGACTGGAGGATGGCATGTTTGCAAAGCATTGCTGGTGATGCCAAGTCTCATATCACGAAGGATCATTGTCAGCATAAAACTAACCATGTTCGTGTACATTATACGGCAGCTATCAAAATGCTTGATTTTTAATACATTTGATCTTTGTCTAACCACTGAACTTTTTGTGAATGGGAGATATAAGTCGGAAAGTTCTATCGTTATTAGAGTCGGTAGGGCGGGTGCATTAGATAGTTCGTAGACTTTAGGGCACATTTACAATCACAGTGTGTTGGTTATCCACTTTGCGTTCGTTGATAATTTAATACAGAACCAGTCCCTCGGTAGACAGTGTTTTCCAGTGCACGTGATGATTAAAGAAAAATCGAGACAGAAAGCTCATGCATCGTTAAAACTGAACGATCATGTATAAGCAGTAGACTAGGTTGGGCAGGTTGACATTTTGCTGATCGTTAGGGTGTAAATGGTACCAGCTATCAACCGTTGAGGTCGATTCCAGTTTGGTTAAAATAATCACGTACATT